CTAGATCATGCAGTCACCAGCCAACACACCACTGAACACAGAGATTTGGACAAATCTAGCTGAAATTGGCAGAGCTAGTCTTGACAAGGAAAAATACCCAGTGACCACAGAATCATAAGCCAAATAAACGCTATTGTTTCAAGCCATTTGGTTTTAAAGTTGCTTTTTATACAGTAAAACTCAACTGATACAGGCTTTGTCTGTATTTACTTATGCTACTTTCTCAGAAATAAATTTACTTGGCCCAGGAGGAAGAACATTGACTATTCTTTAATTATCACATTCAGTGATAATAAATTATAAGAAACACCTACTTTCTCAACATTTGGCAGCCCAAGAATGCATTAGCCATTTAAGTAACTATTCTCTGAATGGTTTTCACAGTCTTCTTAGAAGATTTTTTTCAACTTTTATTTTAAGTTCTGGGGTAAATGTGCAGGATTTGCTTTGTTACATAGGTAGGTAAACATGTGCCATGGTGGTTTCCTGCACAGATTCTCCCATCACCTAGGCATTAAGCCCAGCATCCATTAGCTATCCTTCCTGATGCTCTCCCTCTCCTGACTGCATTGCCCCCACAACAAGCCCCAGTGTGTTGTTCCCCTCTATGTGTCCATGTGTTCTCATTATTCAGCTCCCACCTATAAGTGAGAACATGCAGTGTTTGGTTTCCTATTCCTACATTAGTTTGCTAAGGATAATGATTTCCAACTCCATCCATGTCCCTGCAAAGGACATGATCTCTCTCACTCCTTTTTATGGTTGCATAGTATTTCATGGTGTGGTGTATATGTACCACATTTTCTTTATTCAGTCTTTCACTGATGGGCATTTCAGTTGAGTCCATGTCTTTGCTATTGTGAATAGTACTGTAATGAACACAAATGTGCAGGTATCTTTATAACAGAATGATTTATATTCCTTTGGTATATACCCAGTAATGAGATTGCTGGTTCAAATGGTATTTCTGCCTCCAGGTCTTTGAGGAATCACCACACTCTCTTCCACAATGGTTGAACTAATTTACACTCCTACCAAAAAAAAAACAGCATTCCTTTTTCTCTACAACTTTGTTAGCATCTGCTGTTTTTTGACTTTTTAATAATAGCCATTCTGACTGGTGACAGATGGTATCTCATTGTGATTTTGATTTGCATTTCTCTAATGATTAGTGATGTTGATTTTTTTTCAGATGTTTGTTGGCTGCATGTATGTCTTCTTTTAAGGAGTGTCTGTTTCAGGTCCTTTGCCCACTTTTTAATGGGGTTGTTAGATATTTTTCTTGTAAATTTAAGTTCCTCATGGACTCTAGATATTAAACCTTTGTCAGACGGATAGATTGCAAAACTTTTCTCCTGTTCTGTAGATTGTCTGTTCACTCTGATGATAGTTGCTTCTGCACAGCAACTGTTCCCACTTGTCAATTTTTGCTTTTGTTGCAATTGGTTTTGGCATTTTTGTCATAAAATCTTTGCTCATGCCTATGTCCCGAATGGTATTGCCTAGATTTTCTTCTAGGGTTTTTATAGTTTTGGGTTTTATATTTAAATCTTTAATCCATCTTGAGTTATTTTTTGTATATGGTTTAAGCAAGGGGTCCAGTTTCAGTTTTCTGCATATAGCTAGCCAGTTATCCCAGCACCATTTATTAAATAGGGAGTTCTTTCCCCATTGACTGTTACTGTCAAGTTTGTCGAAGTAGGTGTGCAGTTTTATTTCTGAGTTCTCTATTTTGTCCCATTGGCCTATGTGTCTGTTCCTGTATCAATACCATGCTATTTTGGTTACTGTAACCTTGTAGTATAGTTTGAAGTTGGGCAGTGTGATGCCTCTGGTTTTCTTTTTTTGGCTTAGGATTGTCTTGACAATTTGGGCTCTTTTTTGGTTCCATATGAATTTTAAAATAATTTCTAATTCTGCGAAGGATGTCAATGGTATTTTAATGAGAATAACAGTGGATCTATAAATTACTTTGGGCATTATGGTTATTTTCATGATATTGATTATTCCTATCCATGAGCATGAATTGTTTCTCCATTTGTTTGTGTCCTCTCTGATTTCTAGAGCAGTGGTTTGTAGTTTTCCTTGAAACGGCTCTTTACTTCCCTTGTTAGCTGTATTCCTAGGTATTTTATTCTTTTTGCAGCAGTTGTGAACGGGAGTTCATTCATGATTTGGCTCTCTGCTTGCCTGTTGTTGGTGTATAGGAATGCTAGCGATTTTCACACGTTGATTTTGTATCCTGAGACTTTGCTGAAGTTGCTTATCAGCTTAAGAAGGTTTTGCCAACCCCTATTTTGATCCTAATTTTATTTATCTTGGCTTGGGAAGTGAAGTAAAAATGATTTAGAACACAATTTTATATTTGTTCTATATTGAAATGGTAGTATTTTGGATATTTTGAGTTAAAACATATTAAAATTAATTTCACCTTTTATTTTGTTAATGTTTGTAATCAGAAAAAAATTAATGTATGGCTCAGGTTTGTGGCTAGTACTATATTTCCAATGAACAGTGTTGTCCTAGATGTTTTCAAGTTCTGGATAAAGATGCTGATTTAAACTGAGCAGTAAAGAAATTAACTGAATGAAGTTAATTGCAATCTGGACAGAGATGAAGACTTGTGAAATGACAGTACTAGGTCAAAGTGTGGTGTATTGGTGAAGGAATTGTTTCTCTTCCACCCTCTGAAGGTTTGCTGAAATGAACTGACAATAGATCAAAAGGAGAAAAAGCACACAAATTTTTAAACGTGCAAGTGTACACGGAAGTTGTACAAAATATAAGACTCAAAGAGGGCCAGGTGGCTGAAGGGTAAACAACACCCTCTTCATAGGGGACAGGAAGATGACAGAATGTAGACAATTTTGGAATCTGGTTTTTAGGAGAATTAAGTGGGCCCCAAAGGCCAGACAATAGTTTGTAAGTGATTCTCTTTGGAAACTGAATGGGACTGAAGAATGAGGGCATAGCTTGTGACAAGGTTTGTCTAGGTGGTATGACATTTCTGTCTTCTTACCTGTGATATGAGTTTAATCTTTTCTGGGCAATATTTCAGGGAGGGGAGTGAAGACCATTGTGTTTCTCCTGGAGAAGCTGCAGATAAGGAAACTTCATAGAGAGTTCCACTCTGCTGGGGGAGAAAGAGGAAACGGTTAGAAAGTTCTTGGTTCTGAGCTGCTTCTAAGGCTTTTTAATTTCTTTTAGTTCAAACTGTTCCACATGTCAAAGTGCCATGCTTTGGAGTATTGTTTTCTGAGCGCTAACATTGCCCTGTCTAAAACTTTCCTAGAAGTTACGCATGTTAAAAGCTGATTTGGTGGCTATGGGAAGAAAAATTATGTTTGTAGCTGGGTAGCAAATGATCTTATTAAACCAGTCTCCTATTCTTAAGATAGGTCAGTCCCATTAAACAGTTCTTTCTCATGTCAATAGGTGACATTTATAGGGTTCTCATCAAAGTTAAGCCTCTATATGGTACATGCAAACAGGTCTTTAATAAGAAGCCTTCCTAAGAAAACAGACGAAAAACAAAAGTTAATACCTGGAGTTTATAAGCTAGTTTTTCTAGAGTTCACAGGGCAGCCAGTTGAGAAGATTCCTACATTTAGGTTTCAGGCATTTTCAGTAGGAGTGAAGCTGGCAGTGGCAATCTGACAGATTTTGCAGTTTTTGTGTCACAAAAGGTCATCTATACATAAGCTGTCATAGTGATTCCTCAGACGACTCTATTAAGTCAACCAGTGTCAACTAATATGGATTCAGGAAAAAGGTAGTTTTAATTTCAGTGATTCCAAGTCAGAAATGTGGGAGTGAAGTGGAAATGTTTGTTTGGAGACTTGAAGTCAGGAGAAAATTCAGGATTCAGTCTACATTGCAGTAAAGAAAAATCTCAAAAACAATGAGCTAGAATATAAAAATAAGTGCACTATGATTTTCTTCTTAAACAGAATTTTTCTCTCTCTAATAACCCTAATGCTACCAAAGGCAGTAAGTCCAATTTACTGATGGGTTATTTCGTTTTATGACTTTTATTTTAAGTTCAGTGGTACCTGTGCAGGTTTGCTATATAGGTAAACTGTGTGTCACAGGGGTAAGATGTAGATTATTTCATCACCCAGGTAATACGCATAGTACTCAAGAGGTATTTTTTCTGATTCCCTCACTCCTCCCACCCTCTACCCTTAGGCCACAGTGTCTGCTGTTCCCCTCTTCGTTTCCATATTTTCTCACTGTTTAGCTCCCACTTATAAGTGAGAACATATGACATGTGGTTTTCTGTTCCTGCATTACTTTGTTTAGGATAATGGCCCTAGCTCTATTCATGTTGCTGCAAAGAACACGATTTCATTCTTTTTATGGCTGCATAGTATTCCACAGTATATGTAGTAAGTCCAATTTATTTGTAAAATAAGTTTAGTTTTATTAAACTTGGCCTGATCATTTACATAAGCTCAGCAAGAATAGCAAGAAAACAATTATATAGGATTAAGTATACTTTGTTGGAAATTTTTAAACAGAATCTCAAATTAGACTTTTAAAGGCCTCTCAAGGCTAAGGAGACAAATCAATGACTCACCCTGAAATTGTGCCAATAATACCTGTAGAAATGAGTGAATACCTCTTTTCTTGAGATCCCCAAAGATATCTTGAAGTTCCTGGACTAATCAAAATGTAACAGACTTGGTCAAGGCGTGGTGGCTCATACCTGTAATCCCAGCACTTTGGGAAGCCAAGATGGGCAGATCACTTGAGGTCAGGAGTTCGTGACCAGCCTGGCCAACATGGTGAAATCCCATCTTTACTAAAACTACAAAACAATTAGACTGGAGTGGTGTCCCATGCCTGTAATCCCAGCTACTTGGGAGTCGGAGGCAGGAGAATCACTTGAACCTGGGAGGCAGAAGTTGCAGTGAGCCAAGATCACATCACTGCGCTCCAGCCTGGGTGACAGAGTGAGACTCCGTTTAAAAAAAAAAAAAGTAACAGTCTAAACTTACCTGTAAAGCAGCCATGTAAATCATTTATTCAAGATACCAGGCTAGTGTTTCCAGGGGCTTTTTAATGGCTTCATAAAACAACCTCAGTTTCTTAAAACTGTCTGAAGGCATGACATTCCAGTCAAAACTGTGGCTATATAACCAATGCTTCCAATTGTGTCCTGTTACAAAAAAAAAAAAAGATTCTTATTAAACTTATGCAAATAAATATATTGCCATAATATTATGAGTATTCATGAATAGTTTCTCAATTCTGGAGATATTAGGTAGGAAAAAAGTAAATAAATGCTTCAATTCTGTTCACAGAGATATACTTTACCAAATTGCTGTAAGCTGTAGATAGCCTAAAAGGAATAAAGTTTTCTTAAATCTGGAAAACAAAACATGAGAAGAATCAGCAATGTTTTGACAAAAAAGCCATAAAAAACATACTATTTTATCAGTTTTATTCCATATGATTAATCTTTATTCTGCTTGATGTTGAGTGAGCAGTTTTCTAAGTTCAGTTTTTATCAGCATTCTGTAAATTCAGTCCAATGGTATGAACTTAAAGTTATTAGAAACCTGTGTTTATCAGAATTATTTTCATTTTCTTCCCATATATCTCCTTGAAGATACAACACTTTAGGATAATACTTGCTTGCAAAGAACTTTCAGAAAAAGCATCAGAATAAAGCAATTAACTGTGGACAATAAGGCTTAGAATGACCAAGGTTGAAGATATGATGGGAGTTCATTATAATAATGATGTAATTGACAAGAAAATTGTATTATTTTTGTGGCCTATAAAAATTTAATAAGATTATCATACTATATTGTGACTAATGATATATTAAATTTTTAGGAATATCATATAATTTTTGAACACTCATCAATAACATACTTATAAAATTTTAAGTGAAAAAAAGTTAAACATTATTTTTCACTTGACAGTCTTTCTAATATGATTTTAACATTTCCAATAAGCCTAATTAGTTTAATATTTCTCTGTTGCACTTCCAGAGGCCCGATGGAATATCTGAAAGATAGTTTGTGGTAAAAAAATGCTTATGTTGAATTTTGAGAGGTTTGTCAAATATCAAATATTTAAAATACTGGGCCAAAATAAGATCAAAATAATAAATTATTTCAATCATTGTGAAATGATAGCCATTAATTTAGCCAGAATGATAATTAAAAGTCTTGAAAAGCAAATACAGGAAGTTACATAGCTGTAAAAAACAAAAACTTTACTCTTTGAGACAGAATACTTGGTTTCTTTAAGTAATCAAAAGACCTAATAAAGACAACATGAGACACAAATAATGTTTCTTTCTCTCCCCCACTTCACTTTTGCAGTTCATTTTAAATGGTAAATAAAATCTTTTACTACCTCTTGGCAATACTACATGAAAATGTTGTTTAAAAGAGAAGACAGAATTTTAGTTTTGTATCAGTGTACTTTTGATATTAAGGCTCAATTTTAAAACCTGTTATAGTAAATTTATGTAATCATAGTTTAACCACATACGATTCTCTTTTGCTCTGTTTTTCCCCCAACTTTTTGTATTCCCTTCTTTTTGTCTATAATGTTTTATCTTCCACTTATATATTCTGAAATAATCTTTTAATGCCCTCTAAACTATAAAAAATTGATTTTTTCCTGAACAAAAACACATATCCACATGTCTTTTTAAATAACTTTCCTCACCGAAAACACATTTTTTCCTTATACACTTTGTATACAAAGTTTCCTTTATATTTAGTAATTTTTATTACATGTAATAAGTAGAATTTTTAACTCTAAGTAGCCTTAATTTTCAGTGAAAACCTAGGAAGCAAGCAATTTTGAACTGTCATGTGCCAACATTTTATGAATACATATAATTTTTAGAAACATATGCTATTTCATAGAATAATTTTTCAATGTGAACTGGACATATTTACTCTAAAGTAACCCTTGATATCCCCAAAAGCCAGAGATCAGGGAGTTTAATGCAAAAGAGTAAAACATCAGATCTGAGAGGAATACCACCCATGACTTTTGGAGCTCCATAAGGAAAATAGAGGACCCCAAAAGTGGGGCGTCAGTGGTGCCTTTTGTGTGTTCTTCAAGGTGTCCCAGGGTTATCAAAAATCTCATTAGGTTCTTCATGTGACAGTCAGAACTCTGATATTCTTCCTCAGTAATTTTTCATTTGCTGATCACTAAATGGAGGGGAACATATTTCAAATATAGAAGTCATTTCAATTCAAAGAATTCATGATCTGGTCATTGACAGTTAGGATCTCTAATGGTGTATTTATTCCAGTAGCAGCTCAATTTAGTAGCCTCTTCATGGAAAGACCAGGAAGTAATTTTCTATGTTTAGAATAAATTTTTAGCATGAAAGCAAGAGGCATTCCCAAGGAAGGTGAAGAAGATGCAGCCCTTATGATCCCTCAAAATTCACTTTCAAAAATAGATTAAGATAGTGTACAGACCTGTGTTGGCACAGGTAGTTAAGAATAATATTTGCAAATGTCTCCAGTTCTCCAAAAAAATGTGGAATGCCATTTGTCACAGACCTACTAATCTGTGACACTGGATAGGCACATCTAGGATTGGACTTTCCCAGCACTAACAAGACAACAGAGGTAGAGATGACAAAAGCCCCTTATGGATGGAATTTATTAAGACAAACTTCCCTAGGAGCTTGGCACATTTCGACAAAGAGAATGTTGCTTAATAGCATTTTGTGTCTTGGGTTCCCAGTCTTTTCAGACTGGCCACTTGGCAGAACCTGACAATTGTACTTCCCAGCTGGCAACGAACAAGAAAGAGTGGTTGCCACTTGTTCACAAAGCCAGGCTCTCAAGATACAAAGGAAGACAAGCAAGGTATCTTATTTGTTTTTTGTTTCAGGGACCCACAGAAAAGTTTGTACGCCAGTCTGGTGAGAACCATGTACTCATCAGTCTATAAGGACAGCTCAAACAATGGGCTCATAAGGGCTTTAGGTCCATGTTCTACCCATATAAAGGTTGTCCTTTTTACAACAAACAACACACAAGACAGAAACAAAGGAAAACAAAGACCATTTCTGGGAGAAAAGAGATCATCCAATGTGAGTATTCATACCAAAAAATTATACCAGAGTTGCTATATCCAAGACTAGTCTGTACAAATGATTTTCTCCTACTGTTGTAAATTTGCAAAGAAGAAAGGGACAAGGAGTGACTTTTACCATCCACTCAACCTGACTCCATAAGCTGGAATCAGATCCAAGGAGCTGACTTGTAAGAATTTCTTACCCTTTTGTCAGCTTTTTGGATTCTAGGCTCTCACAACTGCAGTTTCCAGAGGAACAGAGCAGTTTTGGATATCTTGCCAACTGTGCCAAGTCTATAAGAGTGAATAAAAAACTTCCCCTTTACCCTCTGAAGATTTGCTGTGAACTGACAACAGACAGATCAACAGGAGAAAAAGCAAACAATTCTATTGTTTAATATTGATTATTGATTGATTGAGACAAGGTTTTGCTCTATTGCCAAGGCTGGAGTGCAGTGCCGTGATGTTGGCTCACTGCAACCTCTGCCTCTCGGGCTCAAGCGATCGTCCCACCTCAGCCTCCTGAGTAGCTGGGACTACAGGCTCACACCACTAGGCCTGGCTAATTTTTGTATTTTTTGTAAAAATGGGGTTTTGCCATGTTGCTGATATAGGAGTTAAAAAGGAATTATTTAGGCAAATAGTGAGGGTAAGGAAGTCCTCAGTAAGATTTCCCTTTTTATGAAAAGCAGCCCCCAAATCACTTCTAACAAAGAGCAGCCTGTAAAATGGAGCTGCAGACATAGATAAGTAAGCTGGAAGCTTGCACGGTGAACGCTGGCAGCTGTGCCAATAGGAAAGGGGCTACTTGGGGACTAGGCACGTTCAACATGCAGCTCCATCTTCCCTTTTATCAACCATGTGTACGGTAAGGAGCAGACAACATGGCATCAGTCATGTAAAAACCCACTTGCATAATAAAAGATTAGTGTGGGGTGACCGGCTTCTTTGCATGCTATGTAAATGTCACACCTGGTCCAACCAATCTTAGGGCCATATGTAAATCAGACACCGCTTCCTCAAGCCGGTCTATAAAACCTCATGCACTTCACCACAAAACTGGAAGTGTCACTCGGGCACCCCCCTCTCTTGCAAGACAGAGAGCTATTCTCCTTTCTCTTTCTTTTGCCTATTAAACCTCTGCTCTTAAACCCATTTCTTGTATGTCTGCATACTCGATTTCCTTGGTGTGAGATGACGAACCTCGGATATTCCCTCCAGACAATGACGCCACATTGTCCAGGCTTGTCTCGTGAGCTCAAGCAATCTGCCCACCTCAGCCTCCCAAAGTCTGGGATTACAGGTATGAGCCTCTGTGCCCAGCTGCATGCAAATTTATTAACATGAAAGTGGAATGGAATGCTGGGTGGAAATCCCAGCTGCCCTACGCAAACTGGGATGGATGTGTATCCTAGCTAGAAGGCAAAGAAAAAAAGAAAAGAGAAATGTGAAGAGAAAAAGCAAAAAGACTTAGTGATTTACCTGATTCAAGAGATCAAGAAGAAGGAGGAGTCAAATATAACTTTGAGCTCTGGGTAATTTGGAGAACACTGATGCCACTCATAGAAAGAGGACCCACCAATGAGAACACATGGACACAGGGAGGGGAGCACTACACACTGTGGTCTGTTGGGGGGAAATAAGGGAGGGACAGTGGGGAATGGGGAGTTGGGGAGAGATAGCATGGGGAGAAATGCCAGATATAGGTGATGGGGAGGAAGGCAGCAAATCACACTGCCACATGTGTACCTATGCAACCATCTTGCATGTTCTTCACATATACCCCAAAACCTAAAATGCAATTTAAAAAAAAAAAAGAAAGAAAGAGGATACACATTGGGTGCTGGGTTTGGGGAGGAGGTAACCAGGTGGAGATGTCAAGCCAACAGCAAATGCTAGACCAAATCCCAACCACGTCTGGACATAAAGATATGGGACTCATCTCCATAAGGAGGGAGGGAAAAGTACATAGAGAAAGACAGTCTCAGTAGTACACTTATTGCAGCAGGAGGAAAGAGGAAAGGCCTTTGGTAAAGGAGATACAAGCCGGAGACAGACAGAGAGGAAAATTACCATAACAAAGGCCTTCAAGTGAGTTTGGAGAAAACAGGAGACCAAGGGTACCAAATACTATAGAAAATTCCAGGTTAGAAAAATAAAGCCAAAGTTAGTGGCTTGGCAACTAAGAAGTTACCAGTGCAGCCAGGGCAACATGGTGAGACCCCCATCGCTACAAAAAATAAAAAATAAATTATCCGGGCATTGTGGTACACACCTGTGGTTCCAGCTACTCAGGAGGCCGAAGTAGGAAAATCACGTGAGCTTGAGAGGTCAAGATTGCAGTGAGCTGTGATTGCAACACTGCACTCCAGCCTGCGTGACAGAGCAAGACCCTGTGTCAAAAAAAAAAAAAAAAAATTTGCAAGGAACATAAAGTAATTTCTCTAATGGGATGGGAACTAAAGCTAGGTTGCAAGAGGGTAAGTAGTGAGTGGTGATGAGAAAATAAAGACATCTTTCTCCTTCCTTTTCTTATCAAACGCTTAAATGTTTGGAAGCCCAAGATCAAACATTTAAATGTTTAATGATGAAAGGAAGGAGAAAGATATAAGGGTGCTTGGGGGATATTCTAACCCTGTATAAAAAACATAATTCCAGCAGCAAAATTCTAAAGCTAAATTCTGGTTCCTACACAGGTAAGATGCATGTGAAAACCACCTGATTCTCTTGGGCTCTGTCTATTCATTTTAAAGCAAGCCCAACAAAGCTCATATAATAACCTACAGCATGTTAACTTCTGTTTGAAGTCTCACAATAATTGTAAATTCTAGATTTATTGTTTTGGTTGAATTCGAGTCAAGTGGTTCTTTGTGTTATTGGAATTCTGTCAAAAATCTCATTCCTCATTCAAATTCCCATTTAATTGTCACCTAAAAGAGCTTGTTGATTTAGGTATAATCCATCTTAGAAATATAATTTTTATTTGTAAGTTACTCAAGAAAAAGAGAAAAGAGAGTGGAAGGAAAATAGAGGAGAATGACAACTCACTATAAATATATATGCATACACACACACACACACACGAAAGTAAGTAAAAATCTTTCTAGATTTGCTCATCTGAAGACTTGGTTGTTAAGCAAAACAATATCAATAGTCAACAACTCATCATAGTTTTACTCATGATTTTTTTTTTTACTTATGAGGGTGCAAAAGCAATATACATCCAGTAGAAACCATATTCAAGTACCCTTTAAACTATTCTGTTTTTCACTTCCAGTATGGTATTCAATAAACTACAGGAGATACTCAACACTTTATTATAAAATAGGCTTTGTGTTAGATGAGTTTGCCCAGCCACAGGCTAATGAGTGTCCTCTGAGCATGTTTTAGGTATCCTCGGCTAAGCTATGATGGTTGGTAGATTAAGTATAGCCGATGCATTTTCCAACTTGCAATATTTTTACCTTACAATGGGTTTATCAGGATGTAACCCCATCATAAGTTGAAAAGTATCTGTACTTCAAGAAAATAAAAATTTACTTAAATTATTTATTGTCCTGTATACTGTTCGTCCACTCCCAATCCATAGTTCCCTCCCTTCAACTCTCTAACTCATAGTCATTTTCAGATTATAGTTGAACATCACCTCCTCCTAAGAGATGGGGTGCTATCTCCCTCAATGATTACGTTCTAAAGCAATGGCTGCCAGGTGCTTGAGAAAGGCATTCCTGGGTCACGAAGACAGCAGAAGACTTACTTAGCTCTAAAAACATTTACATACAGGTCAAAGAGGAAAAGAATTTACAAGCACACATTTTTTAAAGTAAATGCTCTAAGAAAAGTGAAGAAAGGAAATTTCTTCCCTTATTTTTAACAAGAATTAAGCCTCTTATTTTTAATATTTATTGCCCTTACAGATAGCACTTTCTTTTTTTCCAGGCCAGGCTGGAGTACAGTGGTGCGATCTCGGCTCACTGCAACGTCCACCTCCCGGGTTCAAGCAATTCTGCTTCCTCAGCCTCCCAAGTAGCTGGGATTATAAGTGCCCACCACCACGCTCAGCTAACTTTTGTATTTTTAGTAGAGACAAGGTTTCACCATGTTAGCCAGGATGGTCTCTATCTCCTGACCTTGTGATCCACTGGCCTCAGCCTCCCAAAGTGCTGGGATTACAGGCGTGAGCCACTGCTCCTGGCCCTAGATATGACATATTTACTTAATAGTTTGCTACCTATCTTGTAACATGTAGATATGTAGAAACACTATATGTGGACCTCTATTTGCTTTCTTGACAGGACCTGCAAATGTTAGAAGCTGGCTTTTTCTTTTCTAAAAACAGTGATATATTTGATAATTTCCAAATGATTTTTAAAATTTTGTTTTAAAGGAACAGAAATACATTTGCTATTTTAAAAAAAACAGTCATTTGTTTTCACTGTTAATTCAGCTGGCTTTCTACTATCACCTTATAGGTTCATGTTTTAAATGTGCTTTGCACGTGCACAAAGAAGGTAGGAGTCATGCTAGTTGTAGAAACTGCAGGCGATCTTCATTATTCTTCAAGAAGGATGCTTTAATGGGTCTGCCCAAGCAAATACTAGTTATTTTTCTTCTTAATGTGATATTGCAGGTGTCGCTCTTTGATACTGAAAATTTTATTTAAAAATGTGTCCTTCAGGTAAAGAAGCTAGTTTGAGCACACAGTAACCCAAAGCTAAATACTGAATGTGTAGTAACAAAACTGCAAAAATGGAAACCAGGAAATCTAAATTCTATTACCAGTCTTGCCACTAATCATTAGTGTGTGACCTTCAATTAGGGATTCTTTTGGAGTCTCAGTGTCTTCATCTGTAAAATCAGATAAGTAGACTAGAGATCCCTTCAGACATAAAATTTTCTTGACATCTTTTCAGATTCTTTTCTCTTTCTTACTCTTTCCCTACTTGTTTTTGTTTTTTGCTTTATTTTCGCTGTCTCTTTGTGGCCCATATCTGCAAGGACATAGGGTGAGTGAGCAGACGCTTAGCTCTGAACAATTGGTAACTGAACTCAAATCTCCATCCAAAGAGTTCAAGACTTTCTATTTCTGTGCAGATAATAAAACAGAAAACCAGCAATAAGTCAAGGTCTCCTTTGTATTTCTTCTTCTTTATCAGTCCTGACAAGGTCTTCTGAGCAAACCCTCATCCTTATTTTCCAACTCCAACTGTACATCTTCAGTTAAATCCCCCCTTGCTTTGCAGTTTCCATAGTTAATATTCTCCAGGATTTGTATTTTTCAGTGCATCCTCCTTAGATGACTCTTCTAGAATTATTATTTTTTTCAAATGAAATATAGTCCACAATTCTTCCCAAGGTAGTCGCTGACTCAGGCTTCAACATACAAAATCCACTATCGCTATAATCTGTTACTGGAATGTATGAATTCACAGATTT